ATAATTTGCTAAACATAGCAATGTCTAGCTGTTGACAAACTTGGAAATTTTCTAAGTTTTGAGCTAAATTTGATTTCAATTTACAATTTCTAGGCTAGTAGAAATATTAGCTAGTAATATCATTTTTCGACAGCAAGTATTTCACTGTCATCTGTAAAGTTTGTACTTCAAACTTTATTTAAGTATCACACACATGTTCTATAGCATTTTTGTTCACTAAAAATTAGTTTTAAACCCTACTTGATATACATGAACTATTAAATCAACTTTTGTTTAATATTTTTATTGATCATTTTAAGTTATAAGAAATTTATCTATACACTCCATCATATGCATTAACACATAAACATGATGCTCATGACATGTTTTAGTAAACGATTTAGGGTGTAACACTGAGGGTGTTACAATCTCAATGTTCTTGATTTGCTCAAATGTTCTCTCATCAATTGCATCATGAATGATACTTAGAGCAATGTTATTATTTTGAAGAAGCACTTCTTCAGCCGTGGTGGGATTCTCCAGATCGACAATCTCAATTTTGGTTTCTACCACCTTTCACACCCTTCTATTGATTGACTTGATATGTGTAGTCATGTTTGACTTCCAATATGGATAATTTGTGCATTCAAATTGGGGTGGCTTCTTGGTGTTGTTGATTTGAACTATTTTGACACCGAAGGTTGTTAAGCCTCAAATCACGGTGACCCCGGCTCTGATACCACTTGAAAGGTCATAATGGCTAGAGGGGGGTGAATAGTCTATTAAAAATTTCTACAACAACACTTAGCAAACCGGTTAGATAAATATGAGGCGAAGCGAGTGTTGCGCTAGCCTACTAAAAATGCAAGTCACTTGCTATAATTCTAGTTTCTATAGTCTCTATCTATAGAATGGCTATGTCACTACACTAAGTTAGTGTGCTCTCAAAGGCTAACTAAAGAGCCACACTAACCAAACTAACAAACTCTCACAACTAGCTATACTAAAGAGTTTGACAACTAGTTTGCGGTAATGTAAAGAGAGAGAGCACGATAGTTATACCACCAAGTCGAGGAATGAACCAATCAATCACAATCAAACAAGAAATCCTCAGGACAACATGACACAAGATTTTTTACCGATGTTTACTTACTTGCTGGTAAGCTAGTCCTCGTTGTGGTGATTCACTCACTTGGAGGTTCACGCGCTAATTGGCATCATACGTCAAACCCTTAATAGGGTGCCGCACAACCAACACAAGATGAGGATGAGCTAGGGAAAGGTCAAGAACCCTTCACAATCATTAAGATCAGAGCTATAGATAAGTACCTTCCTCCGCTCGATGATCCTTGCTGCTCCAAGCCGTCTAGGTGGCGGCAATCACTAAGAGTAACAAGCGAATCCTACAGCGAAACACGAACACCAGGTGCCTCTAGATGCAATCACTCAAGCAATACACTTAGATTCTCTTCCAATCTCATAAAAATGATGAATCAATGATGGAGATGAGTGGGAGCGCTTTGGCTAAGCTCACAAGGTTGGTATGTCAATGCAAATGGCCAAGAGGGTGAGCTTGAGCTGGCCATGGAGCTTAAATAGAGAGCCCCCACGAATAGAACTGTTGGGCTCCCCACTACACTGAACACGAGGCGATCGGACGCGCACACCCAGCGTCCGATCCTTCCCAACCGGACGCGCCCATGTGTTCGCTCTTCTCTTCTTCGCGAATTGGTTTACGTCAGCGTACGTCACCTGTGACCGGATGCTGGCCCTGCGTATCAGGGCACATTTACTGTGTAGAGTCCATTCATAAAGACTGAGCCGTGCCCCTCTGTGCCACTGACCGGACTCAACACCACCGAGTCCGGTCACTAAACGAACGGTGTCCGGTTAGTGCAAAACAACACCAACACTTCTCCAACGTCACCACCATTGCTCAAATATGACAACCCTCAAGTGTATCACCTTATGCACATGTGTTAGCATATTTTTACAAATATTTTCAAGGGTGTTAGCACTCCACTAGATCCTAAATGCATATGAAATGAGTTAGACCATCTAGTGACACTTTGACAACCGTATTTCGATACGAGTTTCACCCCTCTTAATAGTACGGCTATCGATCCTAAATATGATTAAACTCGCTAAGTGTTTCGATCACCAAACCAAAAAGCTACTATAAATATCACCTTTGCCTTAAGCTTTTTGTTTTTCTCTTTCTTCTTTTCCAAGTCCAAGCACTTGATCACCACCATAATCACACCATCATCATGATCCTCACCATTGCTTCACCACTTAAAATAATGCTACCTATCTCATGATCACTTTAATAAACTAGGTTTTATCAATTCACCAAAACCAAACTAGAGCTTTTAAACGTGGGTGGCGGCGGCGGTAGCTGTACATCGCACTCCTCCGCACTGCATCCCATGCGAGGGGGAGAGGAGGCAGAAATCTTCTGGTCCGAATATTCAGACCGGATGCACGCGCCGAAGGGAGTGCGGGAAACCACACGCGTGGGAATACCAAGCACGAGCGGAACGATGGCTGGGAGCACAGGTAGTCGTACGTTAGTTTCTTTTTTTTCTCTTTTCCTTATTCTTCTCATTTCTTTTTTTTTCTTTTCATTTCTTTTTTTATATTTTTTCTTTTCATGCTTCATTTTCTATTTTTATTTCTTTTTTTGTTTTATGTGATTGTTTATTATTCTTTTAATTTTTTATATTTTATGTTTTTTTATTTCTTTTTCTTTTTTTCCTTTTCTTATTATTTTTTGACCTTCGCGTGTCGTACATCGGTACATGTGACGTTCTATTTTTATCTTATCTTATCTTTTTTTTTCTTTTGATTTATCTTTATTTATTTTCTTTGTTTCTTTTATAATTATTTTTCTTTGATTCATGTCTTTTATTTTTTAATCTTCCTTTCATTTTTTTTCATTTTTTTCTTTTCATTTTTTTTCTTTCTTTATTTTTCTTTTCATGCATCATTGAATTTTTTATTTTGTTTTCCTGTTTTATGTGTTTATTATTATTTTCATTTTTTATATTTTTTATCTTTCTTTTTTTCTTATTGTTTTTTGTGATGTTCATGTAGTATGTATGTGATGTTCTATATTTTTTTGATGTTCACGTGTTATATATGTGATGTTCTGTATTTTTTTATTGTTCACGTGGTAGGCATGTAATGTTCTATGATGTATTTTGCGATGTTCACGTAATATATATGTGATGTTCTCGTAGTATAGACGTGATGTTCTATGATATTTTTTGTGATGTTCACTTAGTATACATGTGATGTTATATGATGTATCTAGTGATATTCGCGTAATATATATGTGATGTTCTATAATGTATTTAGTGATGTTCTATGTTGTATTTAGTGATATTCTATGTTGTATTTAGTGATGTGTGATGTTTACTTAGTATACATATGATGTTCTATAGTATATTTTAGGACGTTTGGAAAGTATCCATATGGTGTTCACTTAAAATTTTCTCTATTACCCGTTTTTATTTTTTTCCTTACGCTTTGCTCTATATTTTATTATTTTTTATTTATATTATGTATTTTATTTATTTTTATGTATATTATAATACCAATATCATGAACCTAAAACTAGAATATTGTTCTTCTAAATCAAGAACATTTTTCTTACGAAAATGGAACATTATTCTCTGAACCGAGAACATCATCTCTGCTCAATAAAAGAAATCATTCTTTCTTTATAAGATAAATATTTGTTAATAAAATTTTGTCTAAATATATCCATGTGAGATTTTGTTTTGAAGAATTTATTGTAAGAAACTCAATGGTGTAATCGGAATTTAATTTGGATGTTTAGTTTAGTAGTTATGACTTTTTTTAGTTTATTGAAAGTCACTGTTGAGAGATATGGTGAGGTGGTCATATCTGCACAATAATTGATGGCACCAGGATCCCTCACGTAGTCATGCGCGCGCTTCCCGCGCTTTTTACTTTCGCGTGCAGTTGGCCGGCCGGGGTCCAGTCCGAGCGGCCGGACCCTAGCAGCCCCTGAGAGGAGAGGGCTGACGAGCTTGGAACGGAGACGCTCATGGCAGCCTGCCGCGCCGGACTGACTTTCGTCGGTAGCTTTTGGACCGCCGGCGAGTTCTTGGGTCGTGCCGACGGCTGCTGCTGCTGTGCGGAGGCCTCCCCATCGCCGAAGATCGTGGATCCGGCCGCCTGGGGTACGCCTGCACGGGATCCGGCCTCCCCCATGCGCAGCGTCGGTGGGCGCGCCCCAGCGCCGGCTCCCACGAGCTGGGAGGCCGTGGCGGTGGTGGCATTAGGCCCCTGCGGCGGAGGAGGGGAAGCGCACGAGGGGAAAGGAGGGGAGGGAGGGTGGAGGTGGCCGCCATGGCTCGGGCGGTGGCCTGCGCCGGCGCCATCGTCGCAGAGGTCAGGGAAGGGGCGCATGGCTTGGACAGGGTGGCTCGCGAGGGAGGCGGAGGAGGGGCTAGGGAAGGAGAAGGGGAGGCAGTGGAGGATGAGGGGGAGGCAGGCGGCGGCGGCGGCGGTGGGGGTGGCGGCGCCGCCAGGTGCTAGGTTTGCTGGGTGGCTCGGGCTTCTCCTCGTTCGGCTGAGGTTTTCAGTCTGATGTTGTTTTGTTGTGAGAGAAAAATACTATACCATGACTGATAAGTAGGACTGATAAGTTCAAGCTAACAGAGCGGTCACTGGTGGTGGATGGAGACATGGAGTATTGGATGGGCGTTACCAAGGTAGTGGGACAGGAGGAGAAATATAGGTCGAGAAGCCTATTTGTGTGTGCCAATAGTTTTTTGTTAGAACCAGATCCACCGATACATGTTTCATCAAAACCTTTTTTGTAACGCAAAACTAAAGAAAAGCTTGCTTCCAGTAAAAATTAGAGTTTTTTACATTTTTACTTAACAAAAAACCGACCCGACATTCTAAAGCTATTTTGGGACCTATATACACAGGTGACGTGAACCGCGAACATCTTGGTTGGAATCAATGCGCTGAGCTCCACACGTTCAAAGTCCGCACGTGCTCTTGCTTGGATTTACAGAAGCCTTGTCTCTCCTCTCGAGCTCGATGGGTAGCCCGTTCAGCGGTGACGGCATGGGGTCCCTGACGAATGTGTTGTCCCTGTCCTCGCAGTAGAGCCTCCACCTGAAGCACCTCAGCAGGTGGTGCATGGTCACCAGCGTCTCCACCCTGGCGAACTCGATCCCGGCGCACAGCCTCTGCTCGCCGCCGAACGCCACGAACGAGTAGGGCGGTGCCTGGCTCTCGAACCAGGACGGCTCGAACTTGTCCGGGTCCGGGAAGATGCTGGGGTCCATGTGCATCACGCTGGACGCCCAGAACACCTACCACCCCTTGGGGATGCAGTAGCCGTCGAACTCAATGTCCTCCAGCGCTCGCTGGAAGCTGCCGAAGATGGGAGGGATCATCCGCAGCATCTCCAGGGCCACGTGCCAGGTGAACTGCATGTCGTGCAGGTCCTCCCATGTTAGCACCTCACCGTTGGCCTTGTTCTTGGCGATCTCATCATGCTCTGCATGCATGAGACATCCATCCATGGTCACGAGGACACGAGCATTTGATTTGTTTATTATAGTCCATAGAATAGATAGTTGTGGGTTCTTTCTTGATTACCTTGAACCATGGCGGCGAAGGTTGCAGGATCGCCCACGAGGTGGCGGATCATGAAGGTCATGAGCATGGATGACGTGTCATGGCCGGCGACGAGGATGACCATGGCGTTGTCCACGATCTCCTCGTCCGTCAGCAGCCGCTCGCCGCCGCCGCCGCCGCCATCCTTGACGCGTAGGCTGGCGAGGCAGCTGACGAGGTCGTTAGCGGGCGATGACTCCCCATGCTCCAGCCTGGCCCTCTTCTCCGCGAGCGTCGCCTCGAGCACCCGTCATGCCCGCGTGCTCGCCCTGAAGCTCTTGCGGAACGTCGTGAAGGGCAGGTCCAGCGGCACGGACCACATCCCCTCCAGCATGTCCGCGAACGCCGCGGTGAGCCGCTCCCTGACGACGCCGCGCTCGAGGCCGAACAACAGCGTGGCGATGATGTCAAACGTGAGCAGCTTCATCAGCGGTAGCACGGCGATGGTGCGGCGCTCCGCTCATCGCGCGTACAGGTTGCGTGCCACCTCAGCGTTGATCCTACCCACGTACCGCCGCAGCATGTCGGGCTTGAGGAACTGCATCATAGCTCCGCGGACACGGTAGTCGTCGTCGCCGACGAGCTATAGGATGTTGCGGTGGCCAAGGATGAGCGGCAGGCACCGGGGCTGCTTCGGTGCCAGCGCGTCGCTCGTGAACACGAGCTTGTTCGCGGCGGGGCCCGTCACGAACACCGTCGGGACGCCAAACAGCGACAGCTTCGACACGGGGCCGTACCGGTCGACGCGGTCCTGCAGCCACCGCTCGCCATTGTTGCTCCACATCACGTGCAGCAGACCCAGGCTCTGCCCGATCATCGGCAGGCCCAGTGAGCCCAGGGGCAGTTTGCCCGGCAACAGCTTCTTGTTGGGGGGCCTTGTGAGCAAGTAAACGATGACTGGCATGAGGAAGGCGACTAGGAGAGCAATGGCCACCAAGGACGCCATTGTTTTCCGCTAGCTAGAGCCAAGAGCTTGTTGACTAGCTAGTCGTTAGGTTACTACTAGGTAGTTGGTACCGGTACAGGTAGGGGTGTGCAAGCGCCATATATCGTAGCGCCGTGTAGACGTGACGTGTGCTGCTACGATCGACGAGCTGCTGCCAAGGTGAAGCGGACAAAGCGGCATCTTCCCCTAGCGTTCTGCGTTGTGATTTTTCTACCCATAGACGAGGGGATGCCACCGGGGATCTGAGACCGAGGGATGGTTGCCTCGATCGGTTGGAATCAGCGTGACAAACATCTGGTACATGCGGAAAACGTAATGGGGACATCTAGAGAGTGTTCGCTGATCCAAAGAAAAAGGAAAGAGAACTATACAAATACAGCCATTCACCAACGGAATCTAGCATTTGTTGGCAGCTGATGCAATCATGCAAATGCGCGCATAGATTCCCCCTAGCTAGCCAACAAATACAAGTGTTGTATTATTGTTGCTGGAGGAATTTGGCCCCAAGCAATTGCTCCACGCTCACAATCAGCGGAATGGGGAGAAATGTTGTCATGTTACGTGTGTTCGTCGTTAGATTTTGTATGTGTAACGGTATGTTAATCTTGTAACTATATATTACTGAACGTTACCACGTGCGTGCTATAAGCTACAGTGGTGAGTACGTCATTCGCGTTGGGATGATTACGGATGTGTCTGGATCCGGGGGCTAAAGTTTAGTCGTGTCATATCGGACGTTCGGATGCTAACTAGAAGGACAAAACAAGAGTTAATTATAAAACTAATTGCACAGAAGTAGACTAATTAGCAAGACGAATCTATTAAGCCTAATTAATCTATAATTAGCAAATGTTTAATGTAGCACCACATTGTCAAATCATGGACTAATTAGACTTAATAGATTCGTCTCGTAAATTAGCCATAATCTGTATAATTTGTTTTGTAATTAGCCTATGTTTAATACTCCTTATTGGCATCAAATATTCGACGTGACGAGGCTAAACTTTTGCCCAAACGAAACAAATAAACACCCCACGATCAGGGTGTAAACGGTATAGATATTTTTTGTTCAGATAGTTATTTGATACTGTACAAGTTTTGAATATCCACAACTTTTTACGAAAGTCAAATATAAATGGGTATAGTTTTTTGTATCAAATACAAATACAATTTAACCATTATCTATTGTATATCCAGTCAGATATGATCGAAAAAATATCTGATGAGCACTTAAATATAAGAATTATACATTATACAAAGATAAAAGAACAAAAATGTATAGTTTACAAAAGCAGCACCTAATCTGAATTCTCAAGCTGAATTTGAAATGTCCCCCTCAAACTTTAATACTGGATAGCAAACACTCATATAAACTTTTAAAACCAGACAAAATACCCTCTTTAACCATTCCAAAATAATTGCTCGAAAAAATATCTGACGAGCATTTAAAAATAAAGATTGTACATTATACAAGGACAAACAAACAAATATTTATAGTTATATATAAAATAGCACCTAACCTAAATACTCAAGATGAATTTGAAAGCCGCCTCAAACTTTAATACCGGATAGAAAACACATCTGAACTTTAAAAATACCCTCTTTATCCATTCCAAAGTAATTTCTTTAGTTTTTGTTTAGAGGCCCAAATGTTTGTTATAAGTCCTCAGATTTTTGAAATTCAGTTTCTTTCCATTTTTCAAATGACAAAAAATTAGACTTTTAAATAATCTCAAATAAAATTGTTGTTAAATACAAAGTTATAGATCACGTTGAAAACCAAAACTTTGATGTAAACAACATCAAAATCTGAGATCGCTTTTTAAAATAAATATCAAAATTAGAGAGCTTAAAATGAATATTTGGTCCTCTAAGTGACCTAATATAAAAAGGTTCTAACTACAAAGTTGTAGATCTTACTGGCAACTACAACTTTGATATAGACTATATCAACATCTGAGGTCATAAAATGAATATTTGAGCCCCTAAATATATTAAATAAAAAATTAACAACTAAAAAGTTTCAATCATGTTGAGCTATAATTTTTATATAAAGTTTGTATCCATATGACTTCATATGAGAAAGTTATGTTTTTTATATTTTTTATATAAGAGAAAAAGGGAGACCAAATGACAGGTGGGCCCCACTGCCATGTTAGCATAACTATACAAGAAACCACTTTAATGTGGTCAACTGGGGTATTTTGTCTGGTGTAACCTATTTGACAACTAACCTAATGCTACATGCTCCAACCAAGCATATAGAGGTCGATTTTTACTTTGTTTGAGAGCAGGTTGCACATAATGCTTTACATGTATATTCAACATCATATTTCCCAATACAACCAATCCATTTCAACACAGTGCTACTTCCACTCCGCCAATATTTCCCTGTTTGCTTGAACTTATGAGCCTAGCTCTGTGTTTTTCTCTCACACCAAAACAGCATCAGCCGCAGAAACCATCAGCCAAACACAACAAGAGGTAATAAACAAATGAAATTAACCCATATGCCGACAATCAATGTAACCCTAATTGATAAGTTGGTGCAGGTCGATGCGCCAAGATGAAGCTAGCTGCTTCATTATCTGCATGGGTGTCGCTCCCTCCCAGTGATTAGGCAGCTCAATCACAGTAGCCTCATGAAGTCCCAGTAAGAGGTCCCGCTTTGCATCTAGAGGCATCCCGAGATAATCAGAGCTATTTTCCATTACCAGATATCTTTTGGTGAGATGTCTAGCTCAGAGTTAAGCTTTCAGCTAAGAAATGTAAACCAGACTAGTACAGAGCGCGCGCAGGGTTAGTAGAGTGCAGGCCGTGTATATAGAAAACACATGTTTCGTACACATACAGAAGCAAATTTTAGTGGAACACATCCATGAATGAGTCGTAACTGTTACATTATATTTCAAAATCGATAATATGTCCTCCATCTTGACAGCAAGAGGTAGGCAACCAACTAACAACAATTGTTGCATCCAAGGCTTATCATGTTACAACAAGCACTACCGGAAACAGTGTCTTTGTGGTGTGCCACAGGGACTCGGCAAAGCCCAAAAACACTCGGCAAATAATTTGCCGAGTGTAACACTCGGCAAACAGCATACGACATCTACAGTGACGGCAAACATCCCTTTGCCGAGTGTTTTCTATCGGGCACTCGGCAAATACTTTATCGAGAGCTAAAACCGACGCTCAGCGAAAAAAAGTAGCATGACGACGTGAAGACGGTCACGGCGTGTTTGCCGAGTGTCTCGGATCTGACACTCGGCAAAGATTGGCCCAGAACATACAAATATTGGCTTCTTTGGCGAGTGTCACAGCGCAGACACTCGGCAAAGAAGCCATTTTAGTCCTAGAATGCACAGATTTTTGTCACGTGTCCGATTTGCCGAGTGTATTTTTCATGGCACTCGGCAAATAGCTCTTTTGCCGAGTGTAATACTCGGCAAAGCTACCACATATAATCAGTTTATTTGGTTCGGTCATAGCCACGTACCACATTCAAATAAACATCATATCTATCACAGATAGTTCACAATAAGCATCACAGGCAGTTCATATAGATATATCGACAACACATAAATGCAAATAAACTTCAGAATCACTGGTAAGTTCATTCACAACCACAAATAGTCATAAGTAGTCACAGGTAATCCACAAATGTAAATGCAAATAAAATCACAAGTAGTCACTTAGGTCATGGGTTCCACTGCGACCACGCTGGGTCATGAGGCTCATTCGATGCCGCCGATTGATTTTACACAAAGGAGAAGAGATTGCATATGTGAGACAAAATTGAACAACACGTACAGTATCTCTGCTGCCTAACTAGTATAACCCTTGCAACTATCAGCAATATCTTCTTAGTTGCATTGTGCTCTAGTATGATTATTTAAGTACTAGTTGGTAACAAACATACAACATTAGTCACTAAGTTTCTAGTGTATGTGCATCTTTGCAAGATTAATTCTACATAAACTATATAGCCCCAATTCGACCGTCACTTTGACTCCAAATCCTACCGAATCCTTCTCAACGCTATGATTCTTCTTCTGAGATACTTCGGTTTGTAAATATCGTACGTGACAGATTGTGCGAAACCTTCTCAATTCTTTATCACGGCCTCCACGTATGATATCATGAGATCTTGACAAATCTCATGATTTTCAGACTCCGTTTGTTTTTTTTAGAATTTAAAAACCATTCGACCACACGTTCGTGGTCGTGTTTCGTGAATAAGATGTTCGAAATTTCTTTTCATTTCCCGGGTAAGGCCTCACACCGGACTCAATAACATGAATATTATTTTTCTACTCATTTTATTCTATTATTTGAATCACTTGTAGTTCAAATTTGACTTATACCAAAAAATTCCTTAAAATTCAATAAATTAATTAAATATAGCAAACAGGTCTAGAAATATATCAAATCTTAACATGGAGTACCACATGTTGTATGTGCAGAGTAGAAAATGTTTCAAGGTCAGAAGAGAAAAAAACTTATTATTTCATGCAGTTATAGCTCAAATTCAATCTATATCAAGTAAAAACATATAATTGCACTTAATAAATTAAAATTATCAAATGGATCCAAAAAATTACCAAAATTACACATGAAACAATCTATGTTCTCTATTGCCTATACAAAAAAGTTTTGAAGTCAAACCCCAATTCTACCGTCACTTTGACTCAAAATCCTACCGAATTCTTCTCAACACTACGATTCTTCTTCTAAGATACTTCGGTTTGTAAACATCGTACGTGACAGATTGTGTGAAACCTTCTCAATTTTTTACCATGGCCTCCACGTATGATATCATGATATCTTGACAAATCTCATGATTTTCAGACTCTGTTGCTTTTTTTTAGAATTTAAAAACCATTCGACCACACGTTCGTGGTCGTGTTTCGTGAACAAGATATTCGAAATTTCTTTTCATTTCCCGGGTAAGACCTCACACCGGACTCAATAACATGAATATCATTTTTCTACTCATT